CTGTATATATACACTAGATACGTGGATGATACATTCTGTACCATTTAACAAAGATGCATCACAATTGTTTAATAGTCAAACAATCTACAAGGATCGAAAGTACGGTAGGCCTAATGAGAAATTATGGAGATACAGAGCATACAATAAAATTGTCCTTGGTACCTGGCCCCAATACCTTAGAAATACCGGAAAGGTGCCGGATGGGATTAGTTTAATGTAAATGAAATAGCCTACAACTTTAGACCATTTTGAGTAATAAACATGAGGCAAATAATGTCTCAGTCTTGCCCCGGTATTCAACATCCGGGCCAACTCCAGCCCACCAAATATTTTGATCCGGTACGCATTGCTAAAAATCATTTTCCGGCCGATTTAGAACAAGTTTTTCTAATAAAAGAAACGTTATCTCGATCTAGCATTGTTAACAAGTGGCTTTTTTCTGACTCGTTGTATCTAGTGGCATAGAGTATTGACAGAGAAAGGGGGACTGATGGGGATATTGATTAAGTGGGGGAGAGGGATGATACTATGATGCGATGTCAACCATTTGCCAATCATGGTGGGCCTGAGAGATATAATATGCGGGCCCTTTTTGAGGGTATCAGACTCCTCGTCGGGGAATTTCTAGTGCTGGCATCATTTTTTTAAAACTTAGTACATGATGTTTTTGTGCTAGAGGTAAGGGGGATAACCTGGATTGCAAGCTTTTTTATTTCAGAATTATAAAATAAAATGGAGAAGACTAGAAAAATATCTTTAAATTTAAGTCTGATGATGCTGATGAGGATGATAATGACGGCCTTGGCATGGTTAAAGTCATGTGAGACTAGAGCAAGCAATTCGTGCTCATGAATGGGGCCACAGTGAACCACAACACCCGGCCATCAAGGGGCAAGATAGGCGGCCTATATAGCGAAAATCATTAAATGGATTTGATGTTGTGGATAGACTAATTGAGTGGTTTTCTATAATAATCTTGTTCCTTAGTTAAGTCATTTCGTATTCCTGTCTGGTTCCTATGTTATATAATAATTATTCCTTAGTTGACGACAAAGGTGTTCATGATTTTTTTGCGAATGCCATACTAAGGTCATGGTATAAACCGCTGTAAGTAAATCTTTATGTGAATTTCCTATTTTGATGTAACATAATTCGTAATTCAGCCTTTTTGGCTGCCATGTTTTATGCTTTTTGTAAATTTTGAATTTTGAAAAAAATACCATCATATATAATCATAATTAGAAACACAGATATGAACTTGTGCGAGCCCTGCAACCCGGATTTTGACTGGTAGTCAAATTTAAATGAAGTCCTATTTATACCGCATATTGGAACATAACGAGTCCAAGAGCAGTCGATTTCTTGAATTTTTTGGTGCGCCACGGCCTATCGATGTCCTGGAACCGAAGGGCCAAGAAAAAATCTCAGCGATTCCGTTGTTCTGGAAGATTTGCCGTCCCCGAGCATTAAGATGCGAATAAGTGTTCCGATCTGTTCCCATTTTCTTTTAGGCCTATTAAAATCCAAGACAATATCATCGAGTTGTGACAATAATTCCAATGCTAAATTTGGTTGAGGTAAGCAACTTTTAACATCACACCTCTAAATTCTCCCCTAAAATAATAATGACCTCTTCAATATTCTTTATTGATATGAAAGAAAATTGAAGAGGTAATTATTATTTCCGAGCAGCAAGAATACTTTAGCTGAAAACGGGACATGAAAAGGCGCCAGGTAGTGGGTTATATTCCGCCGGTACATGCAGGGGATTCCCTCACGCCTAGCCTAATTCCATTAGTTCGTCCCTGCACACAGGAATGGATTTGATGGGGAGGAGAATGATGGGCAAGTCACCAGGTCCCCCACTGCATTCTTTTTTTATTACAGAAATTACATAAAATGTATACAATATCTCGTAAATTAAACACGAATAATTCAATAATGAATACCTATTTATTTGTATAATTATTACACCTTAGACCAATATGAAACGTGCAAGTGCTCCTCTCTTAAAACATGAGGATCCGCTTTTAGCACCAACTCTGTCGTGTGGGCGGATTAGAATTTCGTTTACTGACTCGTTAACGATCATTGGAATTGGTCTATTATTACGATGCATATGCGTTAATGCATAATTGATGTTCGGCATCGATTGATGTTTTGTCTTGTCCGACTGAATCACACAAAAGCAAAGAAGACTTATCCAGTTTCAGTCAAACAACATGAATCTGGGCCACGGTCACGATCCTAAAGTCAACAGGGACATGAAGTCTTCTTATCGATCTCAGGTGCATTCTAATATAGACCTAGCTTTTACAAGATCCAGTTTTGCGTTCTCTCACGACCAATATTAAACTACGGAAATATATGATTGTAGGCCCATGTGTTCACGAATTGGAATATTGTTAAGAAATTCTCCAGCTTAAATCGAAAGCTGGATCCGAAGCCAAGCCAAATGAAGCGAATGCACTTGATCGACGGTGAGTTTCGCAACGACAACCTAAAAAATACCGAATGATACCGTACCAACCTAACTATAATATGGCCCAAGTGTAAGTGCATTTGATGTGCGAACAAGATCACCAGAAATGGAGGATAAAACAAGAAAATCGCACCGTCAATTTCTCGACAAACTTAACAGACATTCAAATCGAATCTTTTCAAAAACATATGCTCAGAATCTAACTTATGACTCGAAACTATCGGCAGTAGTGCGGAAACTAGAGAAAAGACGTGATCTGAATATACGTAATTCTCATGAAAAAATATGGAAAGTTTCATCACAGGACTTTCATATACCCAAACTACCTAAGAACAAAAACCAGCCTTATTATCTAGGAAAACAACGTTCGGTCTCTCTACCTACTCCTACAGAATTATCATTGTTGCTGCCGAGAGCCGTTGCTCGAAAAAAGCGGGCCTCGCTAACACGGTATCAACAAGTATCAACCCGGAGACTTTCCGACGTTGGAGCCGACGACATTCAGATATTTCATTACAGGCACATTCTTGGTAAAGAAGGCAGAGAAAAACCGACAAGTTATGCCATGTTAGATGTTGATACAAAATGTAAAAATATTATTATTCATCAACAACTGTTTCCAAATGCACAGAAAACCACCGAAACCCCACCCATCAAATTGCCTTGTTCTAACGATGCGGAGACAGTAAATAATAACATCAGAGGAGCGCCTCCACCTGCAAAGAGAAAATTAAGGAGACAATCCACAGTTGAGACTTTAACCACAGTCAACAGTGTAAAAGAAGTGACAGTGTTAGCTAGGCAATTGCAAATTTCGACAACGAATAGTGACCAGGTAGTTCAAAAAAACAAATATTCCCAAGCACCGTCAAAAAGTAGTCATCCAGACGTTGCTGGATTTGCAGCTAAAAATACTAATAAAATGGAAGTGAAATTTTCAGAAACGCTAAAAGCATCCAAGTCGTCTTATATAGAAATGTGCAAAAGACAGCTCACAGAATATAAACGCAACCAAACAGGGACATTGAACGTCAGCGCTGCTGATAGAGTGTCGAACCACTTTCGTGACATGAGATCACAATTATTATCTGCACCGATATCACGCGTTCAGACAACAAAACCTGCAAAAGAAACACTTGCAGTACGACCGAAATCTACGGGTTCGACGATCAAAGTATCGCCATAAAGATCATACTGGCAAAAAAAAATATAATTCTCTATCAACCCCAACGTTTTTTTTATAAAACGACCCAGCCTGCTTTATGAAAACAACGGCATCATCCGATGGAAGAAACGGTTACATATAAAAGACATGGTCTATTAAAGAAATTAGAAGTATGGTGGAGTCTCCAAGTGAGTCAGCGTAAGGCTGGAAGAATTGATTCTTGCTGAATCAGACCATCCTATAGACGGAATCGAAACTTATAACGAAACTGCTGAAAGAAACCAAAACGAATATCTTGAAATGAAACGGTCTCGTTTATATAAGATTGGAAACGGACGAAGAAATTATTAAGAAGCTGATTGTTCAAGGGTCATAGGCCTAAATTTGATAAAACAATTGTGCCCAAATGGAAAAGAGTAAAATATTGATGGTTTAGTTAACTTTTTATTTACATTGCTTTCAGAGATCTTTAAGTTTTCTCATTAGCATTTTAGATAAGTAAAATTTACGCCAAT